TGTCAAATTGGCCCACCCCAAGGGGTCATTGATTTTTACTATGTACGTATAGTAAAAAATTTAAAAACAATTTTGTCTGAAGGTACAAGGCTTAAAGCTTTGATATTTGGTATATAATATCATCTATGGGTCCTCTATTAAAGTTGTTTAATTATGCCCCTAGTGTTAAAATTGCCCTGCCCCAGAGGCGATAGTTTTCCTTATATGTATTAAGTAAAAACTTGAAAAATCTTCTTCTCTGAATTGAAAAATCTTCTCTGAATTGACAAAGGCTAGAGGTTAAATATATGGCATGAGACTTTGCGAAATGAACCTTTACCAAGATTGTTCAAATTAAAGCCCTGGGGTCAAAATTGGTTCCGCCCCGGGGGTCATTGATTTTCATTATGTACATATAGTAAAACCAAGTTTGACTGTATGTATGTACTAAAAATAAAAAAAAATCCTCTTGTAAAAACCAAAAGAGCTAGAGCTTAGATGTTTTGCAGGAAACATCTACTAGTGGATGCCTTCCCTGTTTGTTCAAATAAAAGCTGTGGGGTTAAAATTGCCCCGCCCCAGGGGGTCATTGATTTTCCTTATATGTGTTTAGTAAAAAGACAAAAAATCTTCTTGTAAAAAAAGGAAATCCTTAGAGCTTAGATATTTTGAATGAAACATCTTCTAGTGGTTGTCTACCAAGTTTGTTCAAATAAAAACCCTGGGGTCAAAATTGGCCTGCCAGAGGGAGTCATTGATTTTCTTTAAATGTTTATATAAAAAACACAATTTTTTTCTATTATTCTGTAAAGGCTTTAGCTTAGATATTTGGTATGCAACATTGTATAGTGGTACTCTACCTGTTTTGTTAGCTGGTTTTTTTCTGCATTTTTGGGCCATGAAAGAAATGTTTAAAAAGAAATCTTGAAAATATTTCAGGTATGGATGGTAATTACAAGCAATATGTTAACCAGTACACCACTCAGACTCTTGCCTTAAATAAACATCAACATAATGAAGAGCGGGACAAGCGGCGTTACTTATCTCATAAGTTCAGCCTTACCAACCTTAGTGAGTTCAAATGGAATGGAACAACAAATGGTAACAAGATCATGACTGTTTCTACTCTAAGATTGAGCCTGGCGCAACTAGAGAGCAGTTTAGCATCTCCATTTCTTCATCCGAATTGGCAGCTTCATCGTCAGTCATGGTTAAAAGCGTTGCACCATTGTACCAAGCCTGAGGACTTCTCTCTAGCCTTGACAATACTGGTGCATGTAATTAAACCTGTACTGTTGTTACCTGTTTGGCATGAAGCACTTGGTATGATTATTTACAAACTTTCTTATTTAATGATTTATTTTAGCATTAGGGAACTGATTACACATCCTTTTTGGAGATGAAAATGGTTGTGTTGCTATTATATGAATATATGATTTGTTATTTATAATATCAATTCATTAGTTTACAAATTACTAAAATTTCAGTTTGAATGATTTTTATGCCACTGCAATGTGCGATGCTGTGTGTGTGTTATAGATTACTGAAAAATCATAAACTAGGTCACAGGAGCTAAAAATAAAAAAGGCTTGTTAACACTCTAGTGGCTGAAGTTTTGATCTAAATTTCCTGGAAATCGGTCAGGAAGGTTATTTTAATGATCTCTAGGTCAAGTTCAAATATGGGTCATCTCCAGTCAGAAACTAGGTTACAGGAGCTATAAATAGAAAAATCTTGTTAACAGTCTAGTGGCTGCAGTTTTGATTGAAATATTCTGGAAATTGATCAGGAAAGTTGTTTTGATGATTTCTAGGTCAACTTTGGAATATGGTTATCTCCGGTTAAAAACTAGGTCACAGGAGCAAAAAATAGAAAAATCTTTTAAACACTCTAGTGGCTGCATTTTTTATCCAAATATTTTGGCGATTTGTCAGGAAGGTTGTTTTGATGATTTCTAGGTCAAGTATGAAATAGGTCATCTCTGGTCAAAAAACTTGGTCACAAGAGCTTAAAATAGAAAAATCTTGTTAACACTCCAATGGCTGCAGTTTTGATCCAAATATCCTGGAAATGGACCAGGAAGGTTGTTTTGATGATTTCTAGGTCAAGTTTGATTATGAATCACCTGAAGTCATAAACTAGGTCACACTGCCCAAATAAGTATTTACAGACCAGGGTGGTGATTTGAAGACTGAGAGAGCATAGCTATGAATTTGAGATTGTTATAACAGTTTGATACCTGACTGATCAACAGTTCAAAATGAACAAAAGAGTGGAATTACGCTTACCAGTGTATGATTTCACACCTGTGCTCACAAGTAACCTTATTACGACTGCTTATTGCATTTGACTGACACATTGAACAAGCGTTATAGCAGATACAGTGGGGTATCAATATACATGGAAAAAAAAATCATGATCGGCGAAAAATACAATTTTTTTTTTTTGGAGCCAAGGTTTATGAGCGTTATACTGAGATAAGCGTTATATTCGGAGAGCCCTATATCCAGGCTCCAGTGAATGTATATAGTAAAAAAAAAATTCTTCTCTGAATTGACAAAGCCTAGTGATTAGATATTTGGCATGAAACATTGTGTTGTGGACCTATACCAAGATTGTTCAAATTACAGCACTGGGGTCACAATTGGCCCTGTCCTGGGGGTCTTTGATTTTCATTATGTACATATAGTAGAAACTTTAAAAAAATTCTTCTTGTCTGGAGGGACACAACTTATATTGGAATGACTTTTATACATGTAATGCAATTTTTTGATAAAAAGATTCAAAAGCTTGGAGTTAATCTAAAGGTCATGATCTCTAGCAAGATTTCAGAAAGATATTTATGAATTGGTTAGAGGTCATGAACTCTAATTTGCAGGAATATTTGATGAAACAATTTGAGCTTATTATCAGGACATTATGATTCACACCATCTATATAAAGATGAATTTAAATGGTAATTGGTTTTTTATGTTTTAAGAAATTGATAACGCTTATGTGAAAAGACCGTATTTAAGAAAAAGTAAATGTACCTTCATTTCTAAGTTAAATACAGCGATTTGTTGTCAAATAAAAATTCTTTTATTCTTGAATCTTTAATTCTTAACTAATGTTTTTTTTTGAAAATTAAAATCCATCTATTTGACAGCTATTCTGTAAGCGGAATATCGTACAGTACATGTCTGCACGTTTCCGTTTGTTTTTTCCCCCAAAATTATAGACACATCTGCACATTGCCATTCATTTGGCATGCTGAAATATGACCTGGACCCCCAAATACACTAAACACTACTGCATTATTGCAAAGTTCAATTTTATAGAAACAAAAAAAATCTGCTTCTGTTATATTAATGCCGTGGCATAGCATTTTTATGCCCCCGCCATATAATGGCAGGGGCATATAGTGTTACCCTGTTCCGTCATTCCGTCATTCCGTCCTTCCGTCCTTCCGTCATCATCAGTTTCCGTTCATTATCTTAATAACCCTTGCACATATTGAACTCAAATTTGACATATGGATATGTCATGAGAAAATACAGGTCAAGTTCGAAATTGGTCATGGTTCGATGATTTTTGGCAGAGTTATGCCCCTTTTACATTGAAAATAATATGAAATTTTCAGTTTCCGTTCATTATCTCCCAAACGGTTCAAAACATTCAATTCAAAATTGACATATGGATATGTCATGAGAAAATACAGGTCAAGTTCGAAATTGGTCATGGTTCGATGATTTTTGGCAGAGTTATGCCCCTTTTACATTGAAAATAATATGAAATTTTCAGTTTCCGTTCATTATCTCCCAAACGGTTCAAAACATTCAATTCAAAATTGACATATTGATATGTCATGAGAAAATACAGGTCAAGTTCGAAATTGGTCATGGTTCGATGATTTTTGGCAGAGTTATACCCCTTTTACTTTGAAAATAATATGAAATTTTCAGTTTCCGTTCATTATCTCCCCAATGGTACAACACATTCAACTCAAACTTGACATATTGATATGTCATGAGAAAATACAGGTCAAGTTCGAAATTGGTCATGGTTCGATGATTTTTGGCAGAGTTATGCCCCTTTTACTTTGAAAATAATATGAAATTTTCAGTTTCCGTTCATTAACTCCCCAATGGTACAACACATTCAACTCAAACTTGACATATGGATACGTCAAAGGAATGCGCAGGTCAAGTTTAAATTTGGTCATGGTTCAATGATTTTTTGCAGAGTTATGCCCCTTTCACTTTGAAAATAATATGAAATTTTCAGTTTCCGTTCATTATCTCCCCAATCGTACAACACATTTAGCTCAAACTTGACATATCGATACGTCAAAGGAATGCGCAGGTCAAGTTCAAATTTGGTCATGGTTCGATGATTTTTGGCAGAGTTATGCCCCTTTTACTTTGAAAATAATATGAAATTTTCAGTTTCTGTTTATTATCTCCCCAACAGTATTAAACATTCAACTCAAATTTGACATATTGATACGTCAAAGGAATGCGCAGGTCATTTTCAAATTTGGTCATGGTTTGATGATTTTTGGCAGAGTTATGCCCCTTTCACTTTAAAAATAATATGAAATTTTCAGTTTCCGTTTTATTATCTCCCCAACAATATTACACATTCAACTCAAATTTGACAAATGGATATGTTTTTGGAATGCGCAGACCAAGTTCGAATCTGGTCATGGTTCAATGATTTTTGGCAGAGTAATGCCCCTTTCACTTTGAAAATGATATGAAATTTACAGTTTCTGTTCATTATCAACCCAACAGTGTTACATATTCAACTCAAAATTGACATATGGATATGTCAAAAGAATGCGCAGGTCAAGTTGGAATTTGGTCATGGTTCGATGATTTTTTGGCAGAGTTATGTCCCTTTCACTTTGAAAATAATATAGATACATCTTAGGAATAAGCAGTTTAAGTTTGAATTTGGTCGTGGTTCAATGATTTTAGACAAACTTATCTTTCCTGAATGTTGAACTTTCAGTTTCAGCACTCATACTTTTGTGGAAATGTATATAGCCATTATGTTGGCTACAAATATGCAATATGCTGTTTTTAAAAGGTTAAGACTGAATAATTTCAGTGCCTTGAACATTGTATAAAAATGGTTTGTGTTAACATTGAAAAGTTTTAAGGGCTTTGAACTTAGAATGAAAAAAATAATTTGTGCAAACAAATTTGGAACTAAATATTATAACATTTGAAATTTTGGCTGCATGCGGGGGCATCCGTGGCATGATGACACATTTCTAGTTTCAGAAATGAAATACCACTGCCTCCGTGGTCGAGGGGTTAGAGTCGATGACTTCTAATCCAGTTGCCTCTCTGGCCTGGGTTCGATCCCCGGGAGTTGCTTTGGTAGTTTAGCCCGGAGGAAGGTTGTCTAGTACTGGTGTAACTCTCCAGGAATGATGGTTAGGAAACTACCCGCCTATATGACTGAAATACTGTTGGAAAAAGGTGTAAAATGAAACAAACAATCAGAAATGAAATCTTGTTACATAAAGGAAAAGTAATTTAAGGTTTTATAGATATTATATAATCAAACTCTCATTGCTAGGTCATGTTCGATTTAAACGCATCACATCATTAGATCGAGAAGAAATGAAGAAAAAGGAAAGAGAACAGAAGAAATTAACTGAGGAAGAATTGGCCAGACCGGTTATATGGATCAAATACACTCTTGGGCTTAAGCACCAGGTATTGTCATTTTAATACTTAATTAGTCCCCTACCTGTTTAATCGGACGGGTCTTTAGGTTTACCCTCCAATCGTTTGTGTGTCTGTCTGTCCCTTTGATAATGCAAAAAGAACTGAAAGTATTTTTATGAAACTTGAAATATTCGCAGATGGCAGTCTGGAGATTATGCACATCTGTTTGTTATGCCACTGCAGCATTATTCTGCTATGTGGTGGCATAATAGCAATTTGTGTATGCGTGGTTGCCCGAGTGCGTGCGTGTGTGTGTGTGATTATATAGTGAACTTAAAAATTGCTTGTCCAATTTCAACTTAACTTGGCAAGATTGTTCCTTGGATGTAGGTGTTCCAAAGTTGTTTAAAGAATTTGATTCCATGCAGAAACCAAAAAGAATTGTAATAAAAACTTTAAAATATCTTCTTGTAAAGACCCATTTGGCCTAAAGCATAGATAATTTGCATAAGCCATAGTCTGTTGAACATCAACCAAGATTGTTCAAATTATAGCCCTGCGGTCATTGATTTTTGGCTGTGAAACACAGGTGAAAACCCGGGTTTTAGTATGGTGAATGTTGGGCGGGCGGGGAAAAACTTTTCGTAACAGTTTTCTCAGCAACTACTTATCACAGCCTCTTGATATTTGGCATACACCTTTGACACATGGTCCCATACTGTGGGATTCTATTTCAGGTCTGTCGCTCATCCACTTCCTTTTTATCGACTTATTGGGCAATGGTAGGAAATTTTCGTAACAGTTTTCTCAGCAACTACTTATCACAGCCTCTTGATATTTGGCATGCAGCATTGACACATAGTCCCATACTGTGGGATTCTATTTCAGGTCTGTCGCCAGGGCCCTCGATCAACCAAATCTGCGGCCGATTATCGGCCGCAGTCCCCCACCAAAATGGTATGTTTTTTTCCCCTAACAGAGGTAAAAATTCCCCCTCAAAACATATAAGTGTTAAAGAAAAAAAATGAAAACTAATGTTTTTTTGGAAAGTTAAAATCCATCTATTTGACGGCTATTCTGTAAGCGGAATATCGTACAGTACATGTCTGCACGTTTCCGTTTGTTTTTTCCCCCAAAATCTACTGTCACATGTTGGCCTTTCATCCTGTAAAAATGCTAAAATTTCAACAGAAATATGCAGAAAAAAACACAATTCCCATCAACAATTCGATTTCAAATTGTTTAATAATGAAATCATTTTTTTGTCTTCAAAATGTTATACCAACCACAGTAAATTTTGCCGTAAATTACAAACTTGTAAGTTTTGTTTTCATGATACTTTATGAAATAACTGATGGAAAACGAACTTATAATAAACAATACATTTAATTTTATATAATTTACATCAGCAACAACTAGAATTGTGGATGTGTAAACAGAAAACAGACGAATTTTCATTTGTCACATATTTTCGCGATGCCGAATTTTTACGATTGTTTTACAATGTCAAGAAAAGGAAGCTTTGTCTTATTAAAAAGGTGTGTTAGAACACTAGAAATGTAGTTTATGAATAGAATTTACTTTAGGTCCATGTATTGTTCATATTAGTGGAAATGGAGATATTTGTCTGAATGTGTTTCTTAATGCTTATTTTTTTTGTGGGTGGGGGGGGGGGGGTGGAGGGGAGTGAATCATAAAGAAAGCTAAGCAGCATAAAGGTCTGATGGTGTACAGTAAGGTGTTAAAAAATTTTCTTCAAATCTTATCAATCACTTCTGAACAGTTTAGTGTTACCTATTTGGGATTTTTAAAAAAAATAATATGCATGTAAATAAAAAAACAGCTTATATTTAAATAAGTTTATTTGATATTTGATCATAACAGAAAAGAGGAAAATTCCCCCCATACACTTAAATTCCCCCTGCTGAGGGCAGCGACCCACTTCCCCCAATTTGGATTGAGGGCCCTGGTCGCTCATTCACTTCCTGTTTATTAACTTAGTTAAATTTTCGACATTAATGATCAATGGTAGGAAATTTTCTTAACAGTTTTCTCAGCAACTATGTATCACAGCCTCTTGATATTTGGTAGTGTTGGGTATCGGACTCAAAAATCACTATCGATAATCGGACCACCACAATCGATTGTCTGCCGATAGTACAGGCTGTCCAGCGTCCCTAAAATTCCTAAAAAATCATAATTTTTTTCAGTTTGGCTAAAATTCCTAAAAAAATGAAAAATTCAAAGGGAATTCCTAAAAATGCCCTATTTTTTCACTGAAATTCCTATTTTTTTATCTTTTGTTATAACATATCCCGAAACAACCATTTTTCAAATACAATCTAAATTTGAAGACAGTCAGTGGTGCTGATTTCATGTCTCACTCTGTAATATAGGCCCACATTTGCCAGAAATTCCCTAGTAGAAGGTAACTGTTTATCTAAATTACTGCTCTGCAGGATATCTTATTATAACCCTGGCGTGAACTATAAACTGTCCATGGTGCATTATCGATACAACTCTTATCAGAAACAATATGGCCATTTACCAGTGGTCAGTGTGGATTGATTTCACCTCAACATTAGATAAGGTCTAAGGAATGAAAATAATGTTGATTCTGTGAAATGTTTTATATAGATTTAACAACTGATTACAAATATAATAACAAAGCCATTAATTGTCATAGTGTTACATTAAGTTTTACAGTTTTAAAAATACATGCATGATTTAATACAGAAAGTTGTAGGTATTTTACAGTTTAGAATAAGTAAACAAAGATGCAGTTAAGGAAACTGATATAACAAACTGTCAATTGCATTAAGTGACATGTTGTATTAACTTCAACTGCCATACTTGATTAATTGCCAGATGTTATCAGAAAAACAATTAGAAACTGTTAGTTTTAAATGGAACAATGAAAATTATCCAACTTTGACTGTATCAAAATAGTCACTTGTTTAAGGTAGCTCGCTACTTTCCGACCGAAATATGACAACATCTCAGATCTTGATGATTTTTGGTATACAGACATGTAGATATGTAAGCTTTACTTCTGCAGTATTATTTTATAAATAAACAGCGTTACTATGACGTCAAAGCGCCCTCTATCGGTGGCGGCGAAATTGCGTCTTTTTTATCAATAAACCGGTCTGTTCTTATCAATTTTTATCCGATTTCATTCATTTTAATTTTATAATGTTCAGTAAATGTATGTCTTTGTAATGATGTCTTTCTTTAACATTTACTTAATAGTCTGCGATTTTACGTCATTTTTCTCTACGTTCTGACGTCCATATTTGATGCAAATATCGTGCGATATCGCAATAAACATTGTGTAATAAAAAAAATTCAACACGGTGAATTTTGCTATAATTTTCCGAGCGTGTAGTGAGATAGTGAAGGAAAATATTTATGCAATAAAAATATAGGGTCAACGCGTAAGATATTTTGCTATTACTTTTTTAAAATAAAATAAATGGTGAGTGAAACGTTATGATTTTGGTGATGTTAATAGATGTTGGAGTTCAAAGAATAATACCAAATAACAATTTTCTTACGTCAAACATTATATAAACAACACAGGGACTTGATGAAATGTATATTTTTTAAATTGTTGATTATTTTCTCATTGAAAACATGCGCTAGATGAGCACATTTACAATGTTTAATCCGACAACCCCTTTTTAAATACTTTCCTAATTTGCAGGACACAGTCTCATACATCTTTTAATTCTAATTTTATAATGTGATGTTGTTAACGTGTTATATTATTATATGAATTAACTAGTTTCAGCGCAAAAAATAAGATTCACATATTGCTCTATGAATGAAGTAAGAATATTAGGTCGCTTAGCTTATACCCGTAGAATATTTATTTTGCGTTACATTCAGCCTTTAAACACTTTCATAAAATCACACAAAGGCAAACGAGCCTCGGTGTCAAAACACATCGTAAAAATACAATTAAAATAGATATGCATACAAATGTGCCGAAATAAGTGATAAATAAAATTCAGAAATAATATTCAAATATGTTAAAGGGACTCCACTGAGGTTTTTTGACATGGAACTGAAAATATTTTTTCCAGATAAATGTACCATTTGATGTAGGTTTAGACCATTAATCTTTGTGCAAAATTTCAGAGCATTCGCGCACTTCGTTTTTCCAGAATAATTATTCAAAATGAAAAGCGTTTAAACGCTTTTCACCCAATTTGGGCTAACTAAAGCATAAAAATACGATTTTCAATTTATTTCAAAGTATATTTCTTAACTATCTACGCATATATTTCTGTTTAAAGTGTCCCAGCTCATTCATGTAAGAAATTCAAATGTTATGTGTTTGTCTTTTCAACCTCAGTGGAGTCCCTTTAAGAATATTTAAAAACAAACTGTACAA